ATAAAAAATAATGCATGAGAGTGACTATATAAAACACAATGTGAATGAAGAATAGCAGGAAATATAATGTATATGAACTTTTTAAGCAAACCAATAAAAAATGAAATAAATTTAAATAAACCATAAGAAAAAATAAAAATATCACTGTTGGTAAGATGATGGTTGGTTGAACTTGGGTGAAAGTACTGATGAAAGAATGGACACATTTGGGTTCAGCAATGTTGTTATTGTTGTTATGTGCCTTCGAGTTCCTGTGACTCATAGTGACCTTATGCACAATAGCTCTGAACCCTGCCCTATCCAGGGCCAGTCCCACCATCTCTGACACAGTTACCTCTATTACCCCAGTTACTGTGTCAATCCATTTCATCAATGGTCTTCCTCTCTTGTGCTGTCTCTCCACCCTTCCCAGAACAATGTCCTTCTCCAAGAGCTGGTCCCTCCTAGCAATGTGCCCAAAATTTTCAGACAGAGCTTGAATATTCTTCTCTCTGAGGAGAAACTTCTTTCAATCTTTCCAATACAGACCTGTTTGTCTTCTTGGCAGTCTATGATATGTTTAATGCTCTTCTCTAGAACCACATATCAAAGGCATTGATTCTTTTTCTGTCATCCTTAGTCACTGACCAGTTCTCTGACACATAGCAAGTCAACGCAAAGACCATGACCTCAATCTAGACTGACATTGCTGTTCTTTAGCATTCTGGAGAGGCCCCTGATAGCAGATTTTCCAATACTATTAGTCATTTGCTTTCCTGACTGTTGGTGCCATGATGTTGATTGTGGAGCCGAGCAAGCAGAAATTGTAAACTATCCCCCTCTCTCCTCCATCTATCACCATGCTGCCAATTGACTCAGTGGTGAAAATCTTTGTTTTCTTGATGTTGAGCAGCAATCATATTGAAGACTGCAGTCTTTGATCTTCTGCAGCAAATGCTTCAGGTCCTCCTCAGTTTCGGCAAGCAAGGTTGTGTCATCTAGAAATTTTTTTTTCTATGATAGTCTTTCCCCATCTTCACAGGCAGTACTACTTATTCCTGCTTGGTGTCACAACAACAATTTTCTTAGGATATTTGCCTTTTATAATGGTTATTTGCTATATATATCTGTTGTCATAGACTATAATATTTTTAGAAAAGCAACTCTTTTTCTAACTATCCTTTCTGTGGTGTGGACTATTGGATATACTGTGAACTTCCAGCAGAGCAGGAGAAAGATCTGGCCGTGCACTTCCTGAGTATCTGTAGCCTTGGGAACTCTGCTATAGCTCTGCTCTGTCCTGTATGGCTGCTATGAGTCAGAATTGGGCTGGATGGCAATGGGCTTGGTTTTTCATATTTTATAAAAACTTCCTTGTGATTATAGCTCGGTATATGGGTTAATTTTTTTCCAATTAGATGTGTTTACATAATATTTGGAAGGTGGAAACAAGCTGGAAGCCATTGTACTGTGGTTTTTGGCTGTTTCTTTTGGCAAACTTGTGGACACGTGGATGTTGACAGGCAATTCTGGCAGCAATTGGCAGTAATTTCTGCATTCCAGATTTCTGATTTCTGGATTATAGCCCTGGTGATGAGTTTTAACTCAATAGTTCCAAGGATTGCTAATAGATCTTTAACAATTTGCCTTATAATTCTAGGCATTAAATCCCTCCCAAAGAAAAATACCTAAAAAGATTGTTTCTTTCATTGACCAAAGAGTAATAATTTCTTTTGTCTGTTACTGTGTTTTACGAAGAATTGTTAGTTGTTAACTGTCTTTGAGTAGCCTGTGACTGACAGTGACCTGACATACAGCAGAACTGAGTATTGCCTGGTGCTGCGTGCCTCACAATGGCTACCGTAGTTGAATCCATCATTGTATCTCCTGTGCCAATGTATCTAACGGAGGGTCTCCCACATAGCAATTTATCCCTCTTGATGGACTGTCTAAAGCAAACAAGTCTGACAGTATTCTGTTGTGATCTGTAAGGTTTTCACTGACTAATTTTCGTAAGTATATCTTTCTTCCTAATCTGCATGAATCTGAATTTTCTCCTAGTCAATACTAGTGTGAAGGTTTTAGTGAAACTTGTCCATCATGGGTAATCATACTAGTATTTAAATTCTGGGAAGAATGGCTCCTAAACATGATAGAAACACACATGTTACTACCACAGTAAAACAAAGTGACAGGATTGATTGTGAATTAATAACTTCTGAAAACAGGATTTATTCCTTCCATGTAAAAATGATGAATGATGAAGCAATGCAATGACTACTACCAGATATCCAATAGTGATTAGATGAAAAATCAGCACTGCACTGAGTGAGGTGCAGTACAGGGTTGAATAAACTGTGGTCTTATTTTCAGTCTTCTTGTTGTTGCTGATTGCCGTCAAGTCGAACACAACTCATAGTGACTCTATGAACAAAAGACCTACTGCCTTTCCATAACTGTTGTCATTTCACCAAGTTCATAGAGCTTCTAGAGGCATGTGGTCCTGCTTCCAAACCTGTTTTACAACCGGGAGCTCCACCAAACACTGTCCACATGGGGAAGCTATTCTGGTATGGCACAAGGTTCAGCATCACAGCAACCCAGGTTACTTCATACTGCACATTGACAAAGAGTGATGTACAAAGTGGAAGAGTGTTCCTTCAAATATAACAGAACTAGTTTCACTTAGTAATGGTTAAGTGTTGTGAAGTCGAATACGACTGAGAGTAAGTTTTGCACAAAAGACTTAAACTCTGTTTTATGACTAGCATCATTCCTGTACATAACTCTGTTTTATAACTACAATAATTTCTGTACATTTGAAGAATTTAGAGAGTTTGTAGAGTTTCCAGAGGCACTTAGTTTTAGGAAGTGGATGCCACTCCTGCTTCCCAGCATAAATAAATCTGGAAGCTCATCCAAAAAAACTGTACATAATGAGTAACCATTATGGTATTTGACGAGACGATGGGACAGTGAGCAGCATCACAGCAACACCAAGTTGTTCAGTTCAGCAAATAGAAGATTGCTGTGTCATTCAAGGAATATTCATTTGAAAATTAATAAATTTGGCCCGAGGGTTTTCAGGGGTTTTAAGCCAATGCCTTTGAGTGGACTTAAACCCTAGGCAAAGGCTGAGAGAAGGGGAAGAGGAATAATATACATCAAAAACAACCCCAAAAAGAAGCACGACCAAAAAAACCCTCTTTCCTTGATCATTCGGATCAGCATCCACAAGCATCACAAAGCCACATTCCCAGAGTGGAGGTTTCCAGTCTGGAGGGGAGGTAATTACACTATAACCAGAGTGGTTAGAACTTAAAAGAAAGAGTTCTTGAATGCCCAGGAAGGAACCTTAGAAGATGTGATGTTTAGTTGTGACTCAGAGGATGCCTAGGTTTTGTCAGGCAGAAAAGGGAGAAGAGATATCCTTGGCTGATGGAACACTATATGCAAAAATGTGTTGAGTGAACTAACTCAGTCCCATAAGGACAAATACTGTATAAAATCATTATAGTAGGAAGAGTATGAAGATCCAAGGAGGCAAGGGAGGATGCAAGCAGAGGAGTGAGGATGGGCGGGGGTGGGTGGTGGTGTGTTAATCATAGATAGGGTCGCACAATTTGATGGGGAGGGTGTGAAAACCAATGTATTCAAACTTTGTAAATAAATCTGTATAAAATGAAATTTTTAAAAATATTAATGAATTAAAGATGACAGCCTATTAAGGAAAGGTAGAATTCTTGTGTGAGTAGAGCATAGGATGCCTGTGGAGATATGTCATATGAGCTTGGCTAGAGTGGTCATCTGGATCAGATAATGGAGGGTCTTCTGTGCTACGCTGTGGGATTTGACTTCATTCTGAAGTCACTTGGAACCACTGAAGGGAGGGTAGATTAAGGCAGTGGAGTTGAGGAGGTAGGAAGAGATTCAAGAGAGATGTAGGTTTTAGAATTGGCAAGATTTAATGACTCGATATTAGAATGAAGAAGTGAATGAGAAGGGGAGCCAAATTATAACCCCTCTGGGGGGAAGAAACTGGCAATGTTATTTAGATAAGTTCTATTTTGATTATCTATTTTTGTTTTATCTCTCTCCCCTCCCAGCCCCCTTTCAGTGATCAGAAACCCAGGGAATAGAGATTTTTAGAAGTGTAGAAATGAGACCTTAGAGAATGCCCCACCAGTTATGACAACATAACCTCACAATGAAGAAGGAGAAAAACCATAAGTCTTTGCTCACCAATCATTTATTGAGTATTTAAATACAATTCCACAGTTTGCTCACAGGTTTTCTTGTGTAGAGGTTTCAGGTCTCAGGACCTCTGGATGAACAGATAGGCTCCTTAGAATTTATTGAACAGATAACATGCCTGTTTTCGTATGCTCAGAAGCTAGAAAGGCTTAGCGTTGTAATTGCTCTAGTCAGCTTGGCAATAAAAACTCAACAGACAGTCTCTCTGCTGAGGGGCAAGAGCTTGGGTGTCGGAAATGATGTTGACACCGATATCCCTTCTGTGGGTTCAGGCATCTCCAGGAGCCTCCTGGGAACCTCATCTCAGTCTCTACTACAAGAGTTACAGATCTTGTTGCTTCATCCAAAGGAACAAATGCTTATCCAAACTCCAGTGTCCTGCCCCTCAGGTCACAGTATAGTTCTTCTGAGTACCTTTCTTGTTCTGAACTTTAGGGAGAATGCTCTGCCCTTTCAATGATTCGGTTAGGCCTTACTTACCCAGAGGACAAGCCAGGAAATTATTTAATCCCCAAATGGATAAAAACTGGGATCTGATTATTTCACCCAAGTTCCCCATTCAGATTTTACCCATACCCTAGAACTATTGCTCAAAGAATGGAAATGTCCACAGAGTAAATATAGATCCCCCAAAGCATCATTGTATAGAGATAGAAAGGAGGATAGATAAAAGACATACATTGCCAAGCTCTTAGAAGTAAAGATGAACTTGACATGTAGGTTTCTTCCTTGGTTTCATGTTGCTTTAGCTTTGATGATGGTGTAGCCTAGTATTCATGGGATCTCTGTTCTTGCACGTAGTCATAAAGGGGGTTGGAAGAAATAGTTGCCTTTGTAGAATGACCTCCACCTTGTTCTCTTCTTTGGGGCCTCACATTGCCCTGGGTTGAGTGGAAGGCTGGGTCAGCACGTCTTCCCTGTGAGCCTTGGCTTTGGCTATCCTCATTCACGTCGAATTTCCCTCTGCTAGAACAACCTTGCTGGGTACCACGGGATTGTTGGTTCTGAGACCTTGCATGTCTTTCTTCCTGCTCATGGGTTTGTTGTCGATGACAGTTTTGATCCTCTTCATGGGTTTGCCTGTCTTGTCTCTGATGGTTTTGCTCATCTTCCCAAGTCTGCCTGTTCTGTCTCTGATGGTTCTGCTCATATTCATGGGTTTGCCTGTCCTGTTTTTGATGGTTCTGCTCATATTCATGGGTTTGCCTGTCCCTTTTTTGATGGTTTTGCTCATCTTCCCAAGTCTGCCTATTCTGTCTCTGATGGTTCTGCTCGTATTCATGTGTTTTCCTGTCTCGTCTCTGATGGTTTTGCTCATCTTCCCAAGTCTGCCTATCCTGTTTCTGATGGTTCTGCTCGTATTCATGGGTTTGCCTGTCCCTTTTCTGATGGTTTTGCTCATCTTCCCAAGTCTGCCTGTTCTGTCTCTGATGGTTCTGCTCATATTCATGGGTTTGTCTGTCCTGTCTCTGATGGTTTTGTTTGTCTTCACAAGTCTGCCTGTCCCTTTTCTGGTGATTTTGCTCATCTTCCCAAGTCTGCCTGTTCTGTCTCTGATGGTTCTGCTCATATTCACGGGTTTGCCTGTCTCGTCTCTGATGGCTTTGCTCATCTTCATGAGTCTGCCTGT